GAGCCCGATGCGGGACTCGATCCCGGGACTCCAGGATCATGACCTGAGCCGAAGGCAGTCGCTTAACCAACTGAGCCACCCAGGCACCCCTATGAACATGGACTGCTTCTTAAAGCAGGGACAAAATAACATTATTTGTGCATGAATGTGCTCTTGTATCTTGTAAAGATAGCCAAAGTTCTAGAAGGCAGAGCTATTAAACTGCGTTTAGGTTTCTCGTAGGCAGCACCAAATCTTTTGGCCTAGAGCCTGTGGGAGACTTGGTGGGACTTGGAAAGACTTTAGTTGAGCCCCCAGAGCTGGGGCCTCCCCTGGTGCCTCTGGTGCTGGAGTCCCGGGGAGGCCCTAGGGCTGGGGGGAGCCACTCACCTTCAGGCTGCAGAGTCTCATCACTGAAGGGCCATGGCATGGTTGAGGGGAAGACGCTGGCCCTGGGATCTGAGGCAGAGAGGGAGACTCAGGGCCCAGGGAAAGCAAAGCCAGGGTGTTCCCACCCCACCCCCACCAGCCCCCGAGGTAGTTCCATGGGCTTTCTTTCCTGGGTTGCAGTGCTGGAACTCTCAGCTGATCTTACCGCCTGAGCCGTCCCTTCCCCGGTTTAACCCAGCAGAGAATTCCTGAGGCTGTAGATTCTTTTTCCTAAACCACCCCACCCATCCTTTAGACATCTCCTCTTTGCCCTACTGTTGCTGCCTGACTGGAGACCCCAGGGGGCCAGGAAAATGGGTGGGCCCACACCAGACCTACCAAAACAGGTGTTCCAGGGGTGAGGCTTCAGCAGCTGTGACAAGTGATTTTAAAAATGGGGGCAGAATGGACTGCTTGTGTAGGCCCTGGACGACCAGCACAGGAACGCCAATATTTCTTTTTAAGGCTGTTTCCTGTATCCACTCTCCCTGAAATCCACACTCCTCCTTTCAGGTGGCTAGAGGGATGGTTCTGGTTTGCCCATCCATTGACAGAACGGCGGACTGTACCCCCACAAGCAGTCTTCCGGTGCACATCTAACGCTCATACTTATGTTCCCTTTGCTCACCACCCTTGACTCTTGTGAACTCCTACTTAGACAGCAAAACCCAGTCTCCAATCTCTCCCTTTGGGAAACAGCCCTTTAACAGAATGTTTGAAGTGCTAGTCCTATCTTCTTAGTATTCTCTAGGGGCAAGGTTGCCCTCCCTTTGACTGGGTCCTGTCCATCTGGCGTCCCCAGCACCCACCTTCCTACCTGACCCTGGGTAGGAGCTGATGTAAAAACTGTGTATGAAAAACTGAACGGATCTCCCCACGGCTGTGAGTGGGGGCGCAGTACCACCCGAGCCTCCACCTCCCACCCAGGGGCGGTGCCTGGGTCCCCGCGGGTTGCCTCACCCAGCAGCTCGATGGCCTTGGTGGTCCCGTACACGTCCATCACGGCCCAGAGCGGGGCGCCCAGGAGCACGCCCTTGCGCAGCAGGAGCCGGGGGCCCGCGTTGACCCTGGCGTAGAGCCGGCCGCCGCGGTTCACCCAGAAGCGGACCACGTCCCCGGACAGCGCGCCGCCCTCGGGCAGCATGGCCGCCCATGTCGGGCTCTGCTGCTCCAGGTCTGGGCACACGAAGGGCGGCAGGCTGGGCGCGGACAAGCGCGCGGGGTCCAGGCGCGTGAAGCCCACGCGGAGCCCGCCCCACCAGCCGGTCTCGTGCCACAGCACGCGCAGCGCCACCCGCTCGCCCGGCGCCACCGGCCGCTGGCTGAACACGATGCCGTCGTGGAACGTGGCGCGCCTGTGCGCAGTGCACCGCCCGGCGTCCAGACGCACCTGCGCGCCCTTGGCCTCGGCGTGGAAGCGGAGTGTCTCTCGCGGCGCCTTGGCGTCTGTGGGGGGGGGGGGGCGTCAGTGCGGTCTGGACCCGACTCACCCGCTCCCCAGAGTTATCTCCACACCCCCCATCCCCCCCGGGGCCACTGCCCGTGCTCTCATCCAGGGGACACCCCCGCCCTCCCGGAGACCTGATCAAAGCCTGGTGAGGAACCCGCTTAGCGTGCCCGGGATCTGAGTTCCGCCGGGAACTTCCCCAAGCCTCAGTGCCCCTCCCGGAGGAATGTTGTAAAAATTAAACGAACTCATGCCTGTACCGGCTCTCAATACCTGGTAATGGTTATTTGCATGAAACAGAAAGAGCAGGTTTTAGAACAGTAGATATAATATGATCCAGGTTTTCTTCGACACATGTTTATATGTTTAATATACATAGATATATTCTGTCTGTATCTAGAAACAGCCTGAAAGGGATGGGTTTGCTAATTGTGGTGAGCTCTGGTAGATGGGTCCTGGTGTTCGCGCTCTTTCCCTCTGTTTGTCTGACTTTATCATTGTCCCACAGAGAACCCGCACCATTTATGAAGGCCATGGCCCCCAGTGAGGGTGACTTCCTTTTCTGGGAAGAGAAAGGGGTCCATCAGTGCCCCCACAGGGTGAGGTGGGGGGAGGGGGCACAGGCTGGAGAAGGAGTCCCTGGTCTGCCCCTCAGAATCCTGGCCTGGGCCAGCTAAGGCCCAGGGCTGGGCTTTAAAATGGGGGGACTTCCCAACCCGACTCCACTTGGCAGTCAAGAGAGGAAGTTCCCTACTGAGCAGCCCTTCCCCTCCAGCCCCAGGCCTGAGCCTGAGCAGGAAGTGAGCTTCCTGCCCCACAACTGTACTTAGCCAGCTCCCAGGCCTCATCTCTCTCCCCTCCACCTCTCCCCTCCTGTCCTGCTCTTTCTGGGTTGGAAGATGGATGCTGAAAATAGAAGGGAATTCAACCAGAACTTGAGCCAGACCCCACCCCAAAAAAGTAAGGCCCTCCCCCTCCCAGATCTCACCAGTTTCCCCAGCCACACTTCTCTGACCACTCACAAGCCTGCAAGATTCCAGCAGGGCACAAGGAGGGGAGGCTAAATCTGGTCAGGTACAAGGGCTACCCTTGAGGTCATAGTGAATCTGTCCCTGATAGATTCAGTCCAAAGGCAAGCCTACCATGGTTCTCTCACCTGAGGCTTTAGGGACAAGCACTCACTCTGGCCTTGGGGACCTCTGAACCCTGCTATCCAAGTTCACCCCTCCCTCACCCAAGCCCCCTGCACGACTGTCACCCCCTTCTGGAATACCCTCGTCTCTCCCTTCCTTCCTGATAGTCTGCCCAGATGCCTTTTCCTGGAGGCTATGCACAAGCAAGGGGGAGTCCCCGAGTAGGCACAGACAGTGCCCAAGAGCCGGAGTCGAGGGCCCTGACATCAGATGGATTATCTCTGGGCCCACCGCAGAGTCACTGAGGCACCCGGGAGGCTCTGGGGAGGGCAGCCATGTCTGATAGCCAGATTCTCGTCCCGGCTCTGCCGCTCTCCTACACAGGTCACTGCTCCTCTGGGTATAGGTCTCCTTACCCACCAATGGGATCGATATCAATGGCCAGCCACGGCCTGGAGTCTCCAGGTACCTGCCTGGAGATCCTGAATGTGAGGAGTTAACTACCCACTTGGGCAGGCACCACGACTTTTGGATGTCTCCCCCTAGCCACACCCCCAGGCAGATTCAAAGAGAATCTTTGCAGTAAGTCTCTCGGAGTCTAAGTGACTGAGGGTCAGCCCTTTGCTCAGCGAGGACCTCCCTGGATCTTCATCATCTCCATCACCACCCTCCAGCCATCAAGCCTCTTAGGGGCCAGGTATGAACCCTTCAGCATCTTTCAATGCTCCCACGACCTGCAGGGAGGCACGCAGAGGGAGCTGAGTCGGGGTGGTTCTGCACATCTCCACAGCCAGCAGCTGAGGAGCCCGGGTCCGGCTCCTGCCCCTGCCTCCTGCCCCCCCCCCTGCCTCCTTTATGGCACCACATGACCTGGAATCCACAGTTGCCACGGCGGCAGCACCAACCGTGGCTTGGTCCCCACCCTCCTTATCACGTCCCTCTCCCCTCCCCAGCTCTGGATGCTACCTGCTGCCGGGGTGTGAGCCTCCGGTGCCCCTCGGGAGCCAAGGGCTGAGGCTCCAGGCTCTCCGCCTGGGAGGGAGCAGGGTTCTGAGATGCAGTCCAGACCTCTGGTGGTAAAAGACCAGGTTCTCCATCTCCTGCCTGCACACTAAGGACACACTGTGGTTTCAGGTGACGCTCTCAGAGAACTGTCGTGCCTGGTAACCTTTTGGTTTGTGCCTCTGGTAGCCCCATAAGCTGGCAGGGCTTGCATTGGCGCTGGCCTGCAGATGAAGAAATTGAGGCCCTAGAGAAAAGTGACTCACCCAAGGTTCCACAGCTTCCCCTCTCCTTCTGCATCCCTGGTCTAGGGACCAAGCTTAGGGCTCCCACTTACCAGCCTGGGAGCAGAGCTGGGCCCCCATCAGCCTGAGGTCCTCGGGCACGGGTCCCTGGGTCTGGAAGGAATTGTCTGGAGAAGGCCCGTGGACAGGTTTCCAAAGATTCAGTGGGTCTCCTCGTTATGGGCCAGGATCACATTACAAGGTTGATGATTAATTAGAGGTTGCTGTCACGGGTTATGTATGATATCTGGGGAATTTCCTGATGATTGCCCCTGGCTCGCAGCAACCCTGCCGCAGCTGGCTGACCTAAAGGAAGCAGGGACTCCGGAGATAGCCTGGGTAGGATTTAGGATAGACTTGTCCCTTACTTCTGACCAGTCGTTCTCAGCCCGGCTGTGCATTGTAATTGCCTGTGGCACATTAGTAAGTACTCACGCCTAGACCTGCCCCCAGAGACTCTGATTCCAGTGGCCTGGGGTGGGGTCCAGCATCAGTAGTTTTTAAAAGCACGCTGGATGATTCTAATGCACAGCCAGGGTGGAGATTCACTGCTCCAGACCCCAAGGCACACAGGAGGTGCTTAATCAGTGTTGCTTGAGTGGACTGAACTGAATTAGCTGCATCCCAGGACCTGTGAGGTTGCCTTAGCGCTGGATCTCAGGCAGAGAGGAGAGGGGTAAATCAGGCAGAACGGGAGAAGTGCTGATTACCGCCCCCCCCACCCTGCTGGAGTTGGAATTCCACTTTCCACAAATCCGATACAGAACACACATCGTCCCACAGGAGGTCATGCTGAACGCCTGCCTCCGGGCGTGTTAGCTGTGCGAAGAAGCCAAAGACCTGGGGCGTCTGGCTGGCTCAGTCCGTAGGCAAGCGACTCTGATCTTAGGTTTGTGAGTTCCAGCCCCATGTAGGGTGTGGAGTCTATTTAAAAACAAAAACAGGGACGCCTGGGTGGCTCAGTCGGTTAAGCGGCTGCCTTCGGCCCGGGTCATGATCCCAGGGTCCTGGGATCGAGTCCCACATCGGGCTCCTTGCTCAGCGGGGAGCCTGCTTCTCTCTCTCTCTCTCTCCCTCTGCTTGTGCTCTCTCTGTCAAATAAATAAAATCTTAAAAAACAAAACAAAACAAAAAGAAACTCAGAGATCTTCCGCCCCCTCCATTTCTATAGGAGAACTGAGGCTGGTGGAGGGAAAATGGCTTATTCTAACCTGGTGCTTCCCCACTGCAGCAGGCCCGGGAATCTCCTGAGGGATCTTACTAAAATGCTGATTGATTCAGAAGGCCTGGGGCTACGGCTGGGATTTTACTTTTCTAAGGAGGTGGTTCTATAGAACACACTTTAGGTGGCAAGGCCCTGGGTTAGTTTGGAGGCTTATGGGTACCCTGGCCCCCCATCTCCAGGCTAAGCCCTTCCCAAGACCCCAGATCAAGGCCATGGTCAGTGACTACTCTGAACTCTGCTAAGAGGAGGGATATCCCCATGCATGTCCCCGGAGAAGCTGGGGACAGTGGTGCTGGTGACCGAGTTGGGGAGGTTGTTGAGGTGGGAAAGGATGGAGGGTGTGTAGACCCAGGTTCTGCCTCCTGTGCTTTCTTGCCCTCCTCTGTCCTCCCTGGGCCCTGGTGTTCCCATGTGTAAAGCAGGAAGGCAAGGTGAGCCGGTTTCTGGGCCCTTCTAGCCCCAACATGCTGTGATTTTAGTCTTGGCAATGGAGAGGTAACAGCAGTCTGGCCTCAGTTGCCCTCAGAAGATGTTGCCTGGACCCTGGACCTTCTCTTCCACACCACACTCCTGGCCAGCCTCCCTCTGTTTCCCCCTCTAGAAGCAGTCTTCCAAGGCCAAAGGCAAACTGGTGAGAAAAGTCAATAGCAATCACGGCAAGTCCAAGGTTGGTGGTTCCAGTTGATCCAGTCTGAGGCGAGGGCCCCACGCTTTATGGTCCTACTGGCCCAACCCGAGGGATACAGGCTTAGGGCATCGCCTTATCTCTGGGTGGAGCTGGGGCCCGGAGATCCCTCCCCCTCCTCCCCCACCCTGGCTCCACCAGTATCACTGGCTGCCTTGGGTTGTGACCAGAGCGCTCAAGCCAAGAGCACCTTGTTGATAAACCACGATCTTGTAAAAGAAGTGATTATGGAAGCTTATCAGGAAAATCAGGTCCCCTCAGCCCTGATGGGAAATTACCTGGCAAGCTGTAGACATCAGACTACATGATGCCAACAGGCTGATGCGGTCTAGCTCCATCTTCAGGACCTCAGTGGGAGTAGGCGTTCTGAGGAGCGGCCATCCTGCCTCCGGCCTGACATCTGGGGCGCAGGGCTGCCCAGGCAGCACCAGCGTCCCACACTTAACTGTTCTAGGTCCAGGACCGTATTAACTTGCTAATCCTCGTGGCAATTTCTTAAAACTACCTATTCATTGTAATCATTCCCGTTTTACAAACTTGGAAACGGAGGCACAAGGAGGTGAAGCACATTGTTCACACAATCACAAGGCAGTAAACTACAAATCAGGACTTGGCATCGGCCGTCGGGCTCGAGAGCCAGCATGTTGACCGCTGTGCTACTGAAACCAGACCAAGCCCGTAAAAGCTGACAGAGCTTTTGCAGTAAAGAAAGAGGCTATTTGTTGGTGTGGCACCACCCAAGAGAACGGGGGCTAATGCTCCCAGTCCCGAGCTCCCCGATGACTTACAAGCAGGGGGTTTTAAAGGATGAGAATCCAGGGTAAGGGTCTAGGGTCTTGGATCATGCTGATTGATTAGGGATTACGTCGGCTCTAATATTTCCTTTCTTGATCACCTGGCAGCTCCCTGACTGATTGGGGTGAGCTGGTGCTTCTGCTTCAGGGACCTGGTGGTCCCGCTTTAGGGGCCTGGAATTAGGGATAATTCGCAACAAATTGTATTAGTGCTGTTATCTCTAGGGTACAAGGGCAGACGTTTGCCATCCTGGAACTACCGCTAAGCTGCGCGCTACTATTATTTTTTTTTCTTGCAAACATAGCACATTATGTATGTTCTCTCAGGCAGAAGAACATCCCACAGACTTTTCAGGATGCAACTTAATCTATTTCCTGAGGCATTTTTACAGGTTTTTAAAACAGTAACTATGGGGCGCCTGGGTGGCTCAGTCGGTTGAGCGTCTGCCTGTGGCTCAGGTCATGATCCCGGGGTCCTGGGATCGAGCCCCGCATCGGGTTCCTTGCTCAGTGGGGAGCCTGCTTCTCCCTCTGCCCCTCACCCCGCTCCTGCTCTCGCTCGCTCGCTCGCTCGCTCTCAAATAAATAAATAAAATCTTAAAAAAAATAATAAAACAGTAACTAAGGGTTACAGGACCCTGGTCAGAGGCAGCTCGGAGTCAGATGTCTGATCTTGGGGTCTGTGAGGGTTTGCATCCCTTGTGGCACTAGGCCCCCTCCATGTCTCTTCACTTAGGCCACTTTGCAGCCTTCTGAGCATTTAGTGGTCCTCCCTGCCGACCCCACAGTAGGAGCTTTATGGATCGTTGCTACCTGAATGGAGACCTTCCCTCCCCCCCAAGCCACCTACGCAGCTGTTGTGCATGTTTGCTCCAAGACAGTTCTTGACTCGTCCCCTGGTGGCTATAGTCAGTACTGCAGGATGTGCTGAGGCCCTCAAAGCTAGGAGAGGCACCCCCAGGCAAGGAGGTCAGAGGGCTGAGGCTTCTGAGGCCTCCACACCTCCTCTCCTGACCCCGAGGCCCCTCATAGTCCCTCCATCCCTGCCCAGGATTCCCTCACTGGCAGTCAGCCTTCATCATTTGCCCAGGGCCCCATCATTTCAAAGGCCTTCCACAGAAGCATTTCCTAAGTAGCCTCAAGCGCTCTGAGAAGCTAGCTGCTGGAGAGCTGTTTCGGTCCCCACCGTACAGCTGAGGAAGCTGAGCGCTCGCCCAGGGCTCATGCCAACTGTGGTGGAGCAGAAATGGGAAGCCAGTGGGAGCCCAGCCCAATCTGGGGACTGCTAGGCAGCCGAGCCCCTTGTCTCTCCTGCCACCAGGGTCCTGGGACCCCTACCTTATTATACTTGCCATGTTCAGCTGTTCCCCACTGGGAGGGCAAGGGGCTTGGAGGGCAAGGGGCTGCCATGCCTAGGAACCAGCCCCTAGAACACTCAAGGCCATGTGCACAGTAGGTGGTCAGCAAGGATTTGTCAGTTTCTTTTAAACTTGTGGGTCCACCTACCCAATGACACAGAGATGCCACTCCTAGGTGAATGCCCAACAGACTCGGGTGCATATGTCCACAAAGACCAGTCGTGAATGCTCAGAGCCGCGTTATTCATAATAGCCCCGGACCAGAAACAACCCAAATGTCCATTGTGCTGGATGCTCTGATGTGCTGCTCAGATCCCGCTTCAGGAACGAAGAACTTCCGGCGGCTGGAGCGCTACCCTCATGTGGTCAACTGAGGTTCTTGTGTAAGTACCATAGTCCGACTCTCCCCCGCGTCCAGTACTATTTCCACAGGTGTTGACCCCAAGAATACTCACTAATGAGCCCCGTCAGTAATCTCTGTCTCAGGGGCTGCTCCCTGGGGAACCCAGCCTCCCACACCCATCAACAGGAGAATGGAAAAATATTGCCATGTAGTCACACCATGGAAGAATCGTGACAATAAAAACGAGCAAAGTACTGTTATCCACAACATGGTTAAACCTCACTGATGTGATGGACTTAAGAAAAGATCCAGGGGCACCTGGGTGGCTCAGTTAACTGTCTGCCTTCCACTCAGGTCATGATCCCAGGGTCCTGGGATCGAGCCCCACATCGGGCTCCCTGCTCTGCAGGAAGCCTGCTTCTCCCTCTCCCACTCCCCCTGCTTGTGTTCCTCCATGGTTCCTCTCGCTGTGTCTCTCTCTGTCAAACAAACAAACAAATAGAGAGAGAGAAGATCCAAAAAGCACCCAGGGCATGACTCCACTTACGTGAAGTTCAAAAACAGGCTAAATTAATCTGTGGTGTTGGAAATCAGGATAGTGCTCACTGTTGGGAATTATGCCTGGGAAGGGGCACGAAGGAGCCTCTGGGGCGCTGGAACTGTCCTCTATCTTTTTTTTTTTTTAAGATTATATTTATTTATTTGATAGAGAGAGACATAGCAAGAGAGGGAACACAAGCA